CGTCCATTTTCAGTCATATAAAATAAAGGAAGATGGATATGTTGTACCACCGGTTCTCTCTTCCGAAATCCGTCATGCCATTTCGTCGGCGAAAAATCGAACAGCACCATGTCCGGACAGGATAAGACCGGAACATCTGAAGAACCTTCCTCCAGTCCTCGTAAACACACTGGGTCGGAGCTTCACACGTTACCTGTCTGAATGCAAGGTCCCTACTCAGTGGAAGACCAGCAAGACCGTGTTATTGTTCAAGAAGGGTGACCTGCACGATATCGGCAACCATCGCCCAATCTGCTTGCTATCTGTCGTCTACAAACTTTTCACTCGAGTCATCCTAAACAGGATTGACAGAACACTAGACGAAGGACTGCCATGTGAGCAAGCAGGGTTTCGAAAAGGATTTAGTACGATGGACCACATCCACACGATACCAAGGCCCATTGAAGTATCGCGAGAGTACAAAGGACCGCTCTGTCTCACTTTCATCGATTTACAGAAGGCCTTTGATTCAGTTGAGATAGAAGCAGTCCTGGAAGCCCTTGATAGTCAAGGAGTCCCTACTCAGTACATAAAGATTCTTCGTGAGCTGTACAAAAATTTTACAACCAAGGTATCACCATTCTACAACGATATTAACATTGACGTCAAAAGAGGAGTTAGGCAAGGCGATACCATCTCGCCAAAATTATTTACCGCCGCCTCCTGAACGTCATGCGAACATTGGAATGGGACAATATGGGAGTGAAAATCGATGCTCGGCAGTTACACCATCTTCGCCTTGCTGATGACATCGTCCTTATAACACCAAACATTATCCAAGCGGAACGTATGCTTGACGACTTTGATAAAGCCTGTGGAATGATAGGTCTTCGACTAAATCTCACAGAAACGATGTTCATGAAGAACGGATTGGTTTCGCATGCCCCATTCACGCTCAACGGAACGAATATCTCCGAATGCTCCAGTTATATCTATCTAGGTCGGGAAATCAATATGATGAACGACCTAGCTCCAGAGCGGCTTGGGGAACTTTCAAGAGCATTGAGGATGTAGTGACGATAATAAAGAACACCCGACTCCGTGCCCACCTTTTCGCCTCGACGGTACTACCTGGCCTAACGTATGCGTCAGAAACCTGGTCGTTGCGTAAGCAGGGTGAAAGGTCACTCAGCGTTATCGAACGCGCAGTCGAAAGGGCGATGCTAGGAGCATCCCGTTCCACACAAAGGATGGGATCCGAAGCTCCGATCTGCGTCAACGATAAAAAATCAAGGATGCCGTTCTGTACGCCAAACAGTCGAAGATAAGGTGGGCCGGACACGTAATGCGTATGAATGACAAACGACAGACATGAGCCGAGTAACTGGATTCTTCGGGATGTCAAACGTACTGCAGGCATGATGAAATATCACTTAGCGTTACTGAACACGCAGTCGAAACGACGATTCTAGGAGTGTCCCATATCACGCAAGTAAAGGAAGGAATCTGAAGCTTCAACGTGCTTCAACGATGAATAATCAAAGATGCCGTTCTGTACGTCGAACAGTCGAGGATAAGGTGAGCCGGACACGTAATGCGTATGAATGACATCCGATGGACAAGAGCCGTTAATGACTGGATTCCTCTGTATTTCAAACGCAGTTCAGGAAGACCACCGACCCGATGGTCAGTGTTCTTCACAAAGAGCCTAGCAGAAAGATATAATGCTCGACGAGTCCCTAGAGCGAGCAGAACCCACTGGGTTATTCTTGCACGCAATAGGGAAAAATGGAATAATTGCTGGCGCCCGCTCGAGTCACTCGATGATCAATGGGACTACAGGTGATACAGGTGACAGGATTGCTTCAGGAGAACAATCTTGATTGAGTCTTTTCTAAAGAGAATTCTGAGGCTTGATATGGAAGTCCTGGAACAGGAGTTATTGGAGAGCAACCTTTGCATTATCAGTTCCGTAACATAGCGGCAAAATGATCTTTAGGGAGCAATGCTTTCTTTTGGACGACTCTTTATTCTTGCATTGAAGACTACGAAAACAATTCTGTTGTCTGTTTATCCACTTATTTATTTATTTATTCACATGAGCCCGCGCTGCGTGGATCCCACTTCTTTCATTCCGATCGCTGTCTTGTATGTCTTGTCCACGAACGTGCTGAGATTTGCACACAGTTGTATCACAATTTGTCCAGTGCTGATCAACGTATCTGAATACTGATCAAGCATGACTCTGCCTGAGATCCCTACAAGGTAAGGTTTCACCAGGCCTTCACGGAGCGTGTAGGACATTTTACTGCAACCTTCTCATCAGCTAACGCTCACGAATTGGTAACTACGTAATGCTGGTGCTTTTCTGCATTTGTCGAGGGAACTGCAATCTGAGGATGATCTGACAAGGTGACATCACCTCTATAAGTGATATGTAGCGTATGGATTTGTTTGTCACTGAACATTTCATAAAGGGATTCTCCCTTCACAGGCTTTAGGTCTTGACATTTAGATTTCGTATCGTCAGATCTTCTGATCATGGACCGTCGTAAAGCGATTTATTATCGGGAGAGGAGATTGATCTGGTGTTCTCCATTCCTAGCAGGATGCAGTTCTGCTTTGATGTTGTTCTAATCCAATTCTAAAGACGTCCTATTGCAAGTCAAGACTTTATTGCCCTTCACTGGTTGTCTCACCCCAAAACACTCTAGAAGATAACGCTCAGAGTCCGAAACACTGAGGCTGATTTATTTCTGACTGTGGGACTTGCCTTTAACATGAAGTCGCAAGTTAACCTTGTTATCCCGTTTTCAGGTCATCAAAATTAGTCACTGTCCCTTAAGGCCGGAAAGAAGCATACCACTTTCCAATTTTGTTACGAGAAAAGCGGCGGTTATTTAAGGTTATACCACACCTAACCCGGCTTCTGAATAGAAATATCGAATTCTTTCTGTTTGAGAGACCGCATTGTGTAACGAATCTCCACTGCATATCGGAGTTCGGCATCCAGGAAGACTCGCTCCATCCCGCGATAAGAGAACTCTTACCGTGGCTCCTAGTTAGTGCATTGGCAACTTATAAAGATGGAAGGAATACCAGATTGAAGAATTCAAGAGACCAAAACCGTGAATTAACGTTTTTTTTTAAAGAGAGAGCCCACAGCTACTTTTTTGCCGCATTTGTCCGTTCCCCTTCCCTTCACACTTAATAGTTCTTACTGTATAGTAAAATCAAACAGGTTTAATACACCGACCTCTGCACGATGTGCGCAATGATGTATGGCCGGAAGAAATACAAGTTGTTACCACCGGACATTGTCATATATCCACCATCAGCATCGTGTATAAAAGGGCATCACTGAGTGAGGATGCCTCATTCGAGAAGATAGCCATCACTGAGGAAGATCTGGCTCGACACGAAGGCGAAGACGCAACGTCGAGGCGAACAACAAGCATGGACCATCGACTCGGATCACCGGCTCTGAGGAAGACGAAGACGTCGAAACGTTAGCCGAAAATAAATATATTTATCAACCTCGTGCAAGCTTATCAAGAAAGAATACAAACAGGTTTAAGCTGAGCATTGGAGTTTGATATGAAACTAAAGGGCGTCATCAAGAAGTGGATAGACTTGCCTTAGGACAGAGAGATAAACCGAGCTTTACAGTAGCCATCTGAGACGTAAGGGTTCCAAAGTCATACCACAACAAATCAATACCGCTCCGCTCCCATCTTCTGACTACTGCTAACTACGGGCCTTCTTTTCCTGAATATTCCTCGGATACTAGACAACCGTCCGCAATTGCGGATTGTCTCAACGAACACAACTTTTTCCAACCCCTTCCTGAGACCGAGCCACGTTTCTCCGGCAGGTCTATGGTTGAATGAAGTAGAGTACTGATAACTAGCTAGTCGTGGTAGTGAGATGTATGACAGATGTAGCGAACAAGATAAAATCTTAGTTTTAAAAACTGTGCAGTGCAAAAACCACGAAGCAGTAGGTCGATTTTGCGCAGTCCTCTGTATCGATTTATTACCACCTAGCCCTAATCAATATTATCGCCGCCGCAAAGCTAAGAACTTTTGTTCTGAGGATATTGAATAGGAACTTAAAAGTAAGTTTTATGATAGAAAATAACAAGCTAAAAGGGAATTGAACACGAATGCAACAGTGAGATAGCTCATGTACTTAAGTTCCATCGACTTCCATTAGATTCCTTCCTAATCGTCTTTCAAAAGCCATCGTAAATGACTCAGTCCAAATTAGAAAGTTGAGTTCCAACAGACTTTCTTAGAAAAGCTTTGTAATCGGTGCAAGCTGCATTTTTTTTTTTAGCCATTTGGTCCCTACTTAACTCTTTTATTGAAGACAAAGCCCTTTCATGCTATCTCGGAAGTGGTGCTTACAAAATCTTTTTGAAACGATTGTTAACCTCTTAGCTCCACCGAGCATCTAGTCCTATTCATTGATCCTTAAGAGAAAAAGGAAAGCTTAAAACCTTAGTCAAAGTTTCACTTGGCAACAATTGAATGTGCTCTCTTCCTACATTTGCATGTTGCACGAAAACTGTAGCTAAAAGAAATGGACATGTGAGAATTGACTTGGAGTGGATGAGAAACGACACTCGTACTGAGTAGGCAGAAAGAAACCAAAGCTGGTCTACGTGAAAGTGAAAGTGATAAGCACTGACTATCAGAGCGTCAAACTCTGGTAGCGCGCCCGACACCCCAGACCCCCAATCTACCCGACCATCTGGGCGCCAACATCGGCCAACTCGTTTTACCCCACACTATCCTGTTCATTGACACCGTCCACACTGCAAATGTCTTCAGATATGTCTGATATTGGTCTGCTTGTGATTTCGGCTCGAAATCTGTCTAAACTCACGAATCTTTTGCTCGCTGCTGCTCAATCGATCACTTCACGCCTCTATATCCGGTAAGTTCTTTGTTTTTCCGATTTGATACTTCAGTTTTTGGGTCCTTTATCTAGGTGTTCTCTGTAAACTAGCTCTGTAAATGCGATGTAACATTGTCCAAGTGAAAGTAGTTTCTTTGGTACTTAGTGGCAAGCATGACAAAGTAAGTCTCTGTACCTCTGCTGATCATGAAATCTTTGGGAAGTTGTGAATCTGGTTGTTGCAGTCAAAGTACAAACCATGGAGAAGAAATGTGAGTCCGTGTAGTTAAACTGGCCTTTGATAAAGTTTATTTTCAACGAGGAAGTGGTGCTCATCTACATGGCGACGACGCAAAATGTTCTGATTTATCTCACCTTCTGTAGACGTGTTAATTTCGAATATCTGGATGATTGAAAGTACATTAAAAGCTATATTCAGATGGTGAAAACAAGTTGTGGTCATCTACACTAATAAAGGGTAAAGGTTTCGGCGTTGATCAATCCTGAGTGATGCGCCATGCATTCGATTCCATTGAACATCGTTGGAGGTGATTGAGTGCATATCCGGCCTTCACAATGACTCGCGGTGGCCCACTGATATATTGAGCCAGTGCTGCTATCCTTCTAGACAAGTCTGGTACCCATTTTCTGAGGGATGGAAGGCTTGGTGAGCCTGGGGCACGGGGATCGATCCCGTGTGTAGTGCAAGGCGCTTCCGAGCACCGGGCCACACGCGCCCTTGTAATCAACTATACTTCGTAAATGTGATGGAGATAGCTGTTAGTAGTAACTGTTGTCATATCCGGAAAACGATGAGTGAAAATGATTTTCGAGTGACCATTTTTACAAGTTGTATTCAAGAGACCATTCTGCTACGTATTTCTCACGCAACTTTATGTAATCCTATTTAGACCTTAAGGAGCCTAAGCATAGGAAAGCACACATCCGCAGCTTTCGCTAATGCGAATCTATCAGTACATCGGTATTCTGCAATAGTTATGGTAATGTTAATAACAGATTACTGACACAGTAACAACAGGCGAGAACAATTCCAATGGATTCAATAGATTGTGTATTGATTTTCATATCACTTTCCAGCGTCCAAATTCCGTGCTTGGATTCATTGTTACCATCCTTGTACCTCCAGTCGTCTATCTATTGTCCTCATTTGGATGTGCGTATTCTGCTGGGACAAAAAATTCCGCGTTTTGGTCGTCTTATAGGAGAGGAGAGCCCACAAGAGATGTCTGTTATTCCTCCAAAATACAAGAAAGTTGTCTTGGGCGGCACATTTGATAGATTACATGGCGGTCATAAGGTGTGCTTTTGTTTTCCCATAGATTACACATCTTCCTATTTGTTGATTTTTCTTCTTTATCGTTTAGGTGCTAACTTATTATCTAGTTATAGTTAAGGTTCTTCTGTCAAAGGCTGCTTTATTAGCCAGCGAATGCGTCGTTTGTGGAGTAACAGATAAATCAATGATTGAGAGTACGTGACCACAAGTGTTTTCTTGTATAGTAACTTTTTTAAAAACAGAACTTTTACCTATCCAGAAAAATCCTTGTGGGAGCTAATAGAGCCAGTATCTACGAGAATACAAGCCGTAGAAGACTTTGTCGCCGACGTTTCGGATCATGTTGTTTGTCTCGCTGAGCCGATTGTCGATCCGTTTGGTCCTTCCACTCGCATTCCTGATCTGGAAGTGAGGATAAGATTATCTTTTGAATTTGTCTTTCCTTCGCCACCTATGTGAGTCTACTTGCCGTACAATATACTTACATTAATGAGACGTTCAGGCAATCGTTGTTAGTCAGGAGACGATCAGAGGAGGAGAAGCGGTGAATAGAGTGCGTAAGGTGAGTAGCTTTCTTCCTAAGCATCAATGCCGTCTCAGAGTATGGTTTCCGTTAGTCGAAGTTCGTTTTTTGAGTGCTATAAAGTGGTACTATTCCTTGAGAAATCTGTTCCTGTTCTTGTAGCCTTTATGCCATCCTTATCTCTCATATTTCCTTCAGGAGAAGAATATGTCACATCTGGAAATGGTCGTTATTGATCTGATTGAAGGTAGTGACGAGATACTAAAGGAAACCAAAATTAGTTCATCTACTCGTAGGAGGTTCGTTCCTAAAGCAATGTTGTACTCATGGAATAAACGGAGCAATAAGTGTAGGCTAATTATGGTCGTGAATTTAGACAAGAGCTTGGGAAGCTTTTAAAGCCACCTAATCCACACCCGGAAAGACCAAGACGACCATACATCATCGGTTTATGTGGAGGAATTGCTAGTGGAAAAAGCACGATTGCCAAGACACTGGAACGTCAACCCGGTTTCAAGGTAGAGAAATTTCGCTGTTGTGGTTGTCGTCTTTCAAAAAATAGCGACACATCCGTATTTCTTCTACAACATCCTTTTAGTTACTTTGCAGGATAATTCAGGTAATCGACTGCGACAAATTAGCACATAGCTGCTACGAGCCAGGAAGTAAACTAATAAAAGAATTAGGTAATCACTTCGAAGGTGTTGTGAAGAATGGCTGTGTTGATAGGAAAACCCTTGGCACTGTTGTTTTTGGTGATGAAGTTAGTTCTTCGTTCTTCCTGATCTTCAGGAGTTTTTTACTCAGCTATATTATTTTCCTTCCAACGGTTTAGCGCCTCATCGTGGCTGGGAGGTGTTCCTGGGCGTCGTGCTGCGATGTATAGCGGGAGGATTGATCCCTCAGGAGGGCCTTCCGAGCTGAGAAGTCCAGCGCTTCCATCAGGAAGCCCACCTAAGAGTTAATGAATACCAGGATCCGCCACCGTCCTGGTATCAAACTAGTCGCATGATAGGAAGTCGCCTTCTGGTCCGCAAGGGCGACGACTGCCTGTGGTGGTGAAGACCTGGGGCAGAATCCAAAATGGCTAGACCATCAAAACTCCGAAAAAATGGAAATTATGCTGAGACCCACACAATCAATGAAGACGGGCCATCCAAGTATCCAAGTGTAGTTTTTAGGCAAAACTAAAATTGTTATGCAAGTTAGTGTGGCCTGTTTTGATGGAAAAAATCAAAGGCATTATCGCGACTTCGAGTAGTGATATCGTAGGTTCGTTTCATGCAATTTTAAATTAGATATTTCTTAAACGTATTACACAATTGGGCGCGTGTAGCGCAGTGGTCGAAGGTACCCTGCAATACACATGGGATCGATCCCGCTCCCAAGGCTCACCAAGCCTTCCGGGGTTGGCAAATTTGTGCCAGACTTGTGTGGGAGGACTTGAGCACTGGCTCGATATATCGGTGGGCCACCGCGAGTCGTTGTGAAAGCCAGATATGCATTCAATCACCTACTACTTAATGCTTAATGAAGTCGAATGCATGGCGCATCACTCCGGGATTGATCAATGCCAGGAACTTTATCCTTTATTTTTACTATGTATTTGTTGAAAGTAATAATTACTAATACGCAATTTGTAGTCATAGAGGCGGCTGCCATTGTGGAGGCCGGATGGCATACCTACATGAATGAACTGTGGACTGTATTTGTTCCCCAAGAAGAAATGATAAGACGAGTAATGGAAAGGGATGGACTAACGAAGGAACAGGTCATTCGAGATTTCTTTGGTTTCTAATCAACTTGTTTAAATTGCACCTCAAATCTTAAATGTCCTGATTGTAGCAAGGTATTTATGGATCTTGAAATCAGTAAATCTTACGCTAAAATCTAAAAATTAAATGTGATTTCGTCACCGCTTCTAAAATTGTTGGGCGAAAAGGCAGAAATCTACTTACCACTGAATCCTATAGACATGTGATTTTTGAAAATAGTAAATCTTGTTTTTAAAGGCATTTTAAAGGTTGTATAGTCCTGGTAAATGTGATTCTAAGTAAATTACACTGAATATACCTATTCAGGCTGAAGATCGTATAAAGAGCCAACTCACGAACAAAGAGCGAATAGCACATAGTCATGTTGTTTTCTGTTCACTATGGGCTTACGAAGAAACTCGTTCTCAGGTAGAAAGAGCACTCAATGAACTAAAGGCTCGTACGAATTTCCACAGCACAGTTTGATATTCACAGAAGCCAACAGTGCTGTGCATGATACCATTCTGGTAGCTAGTGTAATCTTGTATTTTATGAAGCTAAAACGCTTTATCACGATGTTTACACTTCAGGCCTTTGGCTTCGAATTTCACTGGCTTTTTCCTTGACTTCTACTCTGATTTATAATTGATTTATAAATATTTATGTTCATCATGAAGAACCGTAAGACATATGATCAACAGGAACATCAGTCAAAATTTCACGTGTACGATGGGCCCGACTAGTCGTGATCACCTTCATCAACCTTTGGCCTTTTCCGAGGCACACTATCATCTTCGCTGGTATCAACATTGGGTGCTTGTGATATCACCTTAGCACTGCATTCTTTCGCATCGGATGATTCTTCGTTGTCCTCGTCATCGTCACTATTTCCTTTTAAGAAATTCTGCCACGCAGATAACCGTCGCTGCCTTTGCTCTTCTGTCTCTTCAATTTTGTATTTTGTTTTTCCATCCCAAAGAGCCACTTCTAACCTGAACAGTTTCTTATGTGATGATGCAATGAAGGAGCAACACAATACTCTATCATGGAAAATTTCCAAAAAAACATGTAAATGTCAGTCTAAAACCAACTACCAGAAAAGATACAAACCGTCGTCCATCCACAATTCGTCCATTTAGCATCTTTACAGCCATGTCAGAACCATCCGTAGTTTCAAAAGTTACTGTGACTACGCCCTCGGGATTGTTCTATAAATGAATCAAGTATATCGATAAAAGCTGACAAATTGGAGTTTATCGAAGGCAGTTTTCGATAGAAAATTAGCCGGTATCAGTAAGCATGGATTTGTTCGATATCGGCACTGAGTAACACACATATAATCAGTAGTCTTGCCTTGCAATCTACAATGGGCAGCAACTGCCTCTGAGAGAGCTGGGAACGCTCTAGCAACGTTCTTTCGGGGTTCCAGCGGTACCGCGAGGATCAAACCCAACCTGCATACAGTGCTATCCTGGAGGACAAAATAGCCAACTTAAAGTTAAGTCGTTGTGTAAATCAGAACATCTTCTGGATGAATGATGGAATACAACGAATCGAAGGAAAGAAGCGTTGGGATGAGTAAAACATGTAGTAACAGATCACACAGGTACATGAATGATAATTTCTTTACGATCCGACTTCCAATACAAACTTGAACACTGTGAAGAATCCTCTGCACCAATAAATGAAAGTGAATATAGGTGCTCAACCTGTAGGACAAACGACAAACGTAATAGCTTAAAAACAAAAACATACATCGTAAACAACCACTTTCTTGACCACGCCATATTTCGAACAGCTCTCTTGGACTTCTTCCTTTAGATCCATCATTAATGCCGCATTCCTCTGTGTAATAAGTTTTAAATTAGACCGGATAAATTGTAAATGCATATACAGACATATAAAAGGTACTGACCCCCATCATTGTCAACGTGAACAAATTCTTAATGACCACAGTACAGTCCGAAATTGGACGATAATTGCGTGGCTTATCTGGCTTCCACTCAAATATTCTGAAGAACACCTCCATTACGAAATTTCCAGTCACTGACATTCCGACTTATATGTTTCACTGTAGGCTTCACTGCGTGTATCATTTATTTTAAAGCCAGTTCCTAATTGTGATAATTTAAGGAGCCCTGGGATTTAAGGGAAATTGAACAGGTAAGTATATAATAGAGGATCGCTATTTCAGATTTCCACTGAAATCTGACTTCATTATAAGAAAGAATCCACTCTAATATCGATGTTCACATGGCGTTTCCGTCAGGAAACCCAGCTAAGAGTGAACCAATATCAGGATCCACCAGCGTCCTGGTACCACACTAGCTTCATGGTGCCAAATCTCTGATCCACAAGGGTGGCGACTGCGTCTGGTGGTGATGACCTGGAGCATACTTTGTCTTGGCTGATTTCGGAACTCTGAGGACCCACAATGGCTAAACCAGCAAAACTCCGAGAAAATGGAAGTTATGCTGGGGCCCATCCAACCAGTGAAGACGGGTCATCCAAGTATCCAACTAATTGTTCTAATGGTAGACTATGCTAGTCCTATACCTATAGCGAGATTATCTCTGCATATCCACATGATGGCTGTAGTATCCACATGATGGCTGTAGCTCATAGTTTAAGCAACAATCATTGCAACGAACGAAGTCCGACGCAGTTAGGATCGAATTGATCATTTGCTTAACCCATAATAGCAATAATAAACCACATTTTGTAGGACTGTCGTAATAGTACTCACTTGTTCTGAATCTCCATATACCTCTTCTTCTGTGCATTAGTGAGCTTCTTACGCTTTTTCGATGGATCAAATTCACCTTTGAGCTCGAAACGCGCCTTCTCTACCCTCACTTCTTTTCCTCTTAAATTGTACCCATCCAGAATTGAAAGCGCTAAATCAACAGACTCCTGAAATAGGAATTGGAAATGAGAGTGCCAATGAATGATCGACTACTAACTATCACCTTCACTTCTCAACTAATAAAGAATAAATGGATTTTAGGTGCAGGAGAAAGGATATTGCAGAACCTTAATACCTTAGATCTTAAAAAATGGACTTGACATACTATGCAAAACTTCTACACTTCATTCTTTCTGCTTCTTGAGAGAAAAATGTAGCAAGGAAGGTGTTAACAAACTATAGTAATATAGAAATGGCATTGAAACTGATAAAGGTATCTACAGAAACGAAAAAGACTAGCCCTTTTTTTACAACGATGCTGAGATATATACGAAACTCCGCACCACAGGTGCTTGAGGTGGGATCGAACACGCTAACACCCTTGCCGGGAATTCACGTGTTACCAACTGCATCCTGCGGATCCTTCGTTTCCCCTGTCTCTCAGCTAGTTTTCTGTTCTATTTCTATGGTTTCAACTAACCTTTTTAATATAACAACACCTTCCATCGCCTTTTAGCTGGCCATCTTCATTGACATATAATTTCAATTTCGGCTTATTCGTGCGTGCATCGGGTTGTATAACACCGCACTTTGACATGAATTCCTAAATTGAGAGCTTCATATAAAACATTTCTAGCAGTATCCTTAAAAAAAAAATGCCGTATACCTTAAACTCTTCATAAGTGATGTCGGTGGGCAAATTGCTTACGTAGACGGCGTGTACTTTTTCTTGCATATCAACCCAGCCTGGATATGAAAAAACCAAACTTGTGCGGGAATTTTCAAACTGACCTCCATTTAATCTCGGTAGTAAAACAGTCAACATGTTTTAAATTGTTGAGCTTACAAGAGGCTGATTAACTTTTATTCGGCTAACGTTCCGAGTCTTCTTCATCGAGCCGATAATCCGAGTAGAGGACCCACAGCCGTAACTTTCTTTTTTGCAACTACAGTTACTTGTTCATACTTAAATGCCATCTGGATATCGAACTGAACTGTTTCAAGCAATGCGCCTAAACAGTTTTCTATACTTGGTGGAATTCTTCGCCTCTTCAATAAACGCCCGAGTTTTTACTTCTGCTTCAGTCCCAATATCATGCCTATAGGCCTGACATTTAACTCGACTAGTTCATATGTGCTGTACCATCAGAGCAGTGGTTGGAGGCGCCCTGCAACACACGTGGCATCGATCCCAGCGCCCATGGCTCACCAAGCCCTCCACCCCTCCGGGGTCGAGAAATTGGTACCAGACTTGTCTGGGAGGATAGCAGCACTGGCTCGATACATCGGTAAGCCACTCCGAGTCGTTGTAAGGGCCAGATACGCATCCAATCACCTCCAAACGATGCTTAACGAAGTCGAATGCATGGCGCAGCATTATGGATTGATCAACGCCGAGAGCTTTATCCTTTTACTATCGTTGTGTAAGCTCAATGAAAACAAGTTGAGAGGAAAAATTCGTACATTAAACTGGTATCCCTAGGAGGAAATATCAAGTAAATCAATCTTATATTAAAAAGAAACCGACAATGACATGAAAACGAAAGATTAGTGATGTTAGTGCTAAATTAATACTCTTTTGCTCTGCAAGTAAGGAGAAAATGGTAAAGTCTTCCACCTTGAACCTCTGCTGCTCCTCCGGCCTTCTTCTCGACTTTTTTTTCCGTAGAGTTACTTTTTAGTTTTTCATACTCTGCCTTTCTTTCTCCACCAATTTTACCTTAATGAGAAATCGCATTGTGTTATACAGGAACGTAATGGGGATTGGATGAGGTTATAGGATATCGAGCAATCCTACACTTAAATATATACTTAATTAATAATAAGTACTTGGACGGCCCGTCCTCACTAGTTGCGCGGGCCCAGCATGATTTCCATTCTCCGGAGATTTCCTGGATTAGTCATTGTGATTCCATGGAATCCCGAGGTCAGCCTAGCCAAAGCCTGCCCCAGGTAGTCACCACGACATGCAGTTGCCGTCCTTGTGGATCAGAGGGAGGTTTAGCACCATGCGACTAATTTGATAGCAGGATGCTGGTGGATCCTAGTATTCGTTTACTACTAGCTGGGCTTCCTGATGGAAACGTCGGACTTCTTCTCAGCTTCGGAAGGCTGCTGATGGATGATCTGCACGCTGTATATCGCAGCGGGACACCCAAGAACGCATCCCAGCAACCATAAGGCGGAAACCCTTAGAAGGGACACATTCAAATATATGAATAAAGTCAGAAGTAATAAAGAAATAAGAATAAAAAGCTGACCTAGGACGCACCACAATGTATAAACGAAATCCCACTATTGAGGTCAAAATAAACCCACTATAGTCATACTGAATCCCATAGCTGGCCTGATAAGTGGCGATGAAGTCATCAATTGACTCATCTGCTCGCTGCCACTCTTGTTTAGTTGCATTCCACTTCACTTTTACACCATCGACAACCTACATAATTAAGATTTAAGGAAGAGCTGCAAAGCCTGATGAGCATCGAAGTCCTTCAAATGACATGCCTGTGTCTCAGCAGCCTCTTGCTCATACCAGAGTTGTTGAATGAACTGACGGTCCTCTTCGGAGAGTGGGCGCCACTGATTGTTGTGATATTCCACATATTCGTGAGTATCTTCGTAACGCCCAATCCATTTCTCGTTCAAATACCTCGTAGAAAAACCTAGACATTGTACAGAGTTCGTTTCAAAATTAACTTTGATCAAAAACACCAACTAGGAGTAATATTAATGACCTTCCACCTTCTCACTAGCCGACTCAGCAGTATTGAGATCTTCCGCTGTCGCTTCCTCGCCCAAAGCAGTAGCCTCAGAGGTGTTCAGTTGTTCACGACGGCTCCCTACCCCTTTCTCGCCAAGTTCCATCGGAAGTATAAGAGATTAACTGAAATATTTCTAGAGTCAAGTTTCCACATTCACCGGTAAAAACATACCATCCGAACAACGAAAATTTAATTCAAAACTTCTTTACTAAGGTCGAACTGCAGTAATTTCGAAAAATTCTGCAATTGTACGTGAGGTCCTGAACGTTGCGTGCATTCTTACTTATTGGACGTCACCTTTAGTCGTCTGAGTGACTGCTAGAAGTGGTTTATGGTATGGTTTTGTTCACATACGTAGAATATGTGATAATCGGACCACAGAGATGCTGAGACATGTGCAAAACTGGGGAACCTCAGATGGGCTTCGAGACCGCGAGTGTCCTTTCCGGAACTCACGTGCTGTTCATCACACCAACCGAAGCACCCGCTTATCTTTTCTCTCAGCCAGTTTTATACCCTGATGGTGATATCAGCGATTGTCCACCAACGGGAATTATTTGCGAAGTTCAAATCGAAAAAAAAGTAGGCAGTAGGTGAAAGTTAGAAAATAATATTTTCGACTGCAGTTTCAGTTTAACTCGGCTCAGTGTCGATTGCCTATTCCTTTTTCCACGGTAGTGTATTATGCGAAGTATAGCCGCAAGAGTGTTGAGATATGGGCAAAACTAGGAAGCTCAGTCGAGCATCCGAATGGCGATTACCCTATCTGGGGGCTCACCTGCTATCCACCGGTTGAAAGGTTGTCATCATTCAGTTTTCCGAGAAGTCAAAAGTCTCAGCAGACGTTCATTGAGTTTCCACAGACTACTAGAGTCGGACCAATGCTCCCAGGAGGACCTAAATGTGATGGGCTGTCTCCTTTACAGTCTAGGCAATCGCCCAGTAAATAGAACCGACGCTACTAAAGTCGCTATCCGCGTTTGTCATTCATCACACCTGTTCAGTGGTACCTTCTCAATGAAATACCACCAGAGGCATAACATTCCAGTTCCAGTGTGATTTAAGCATCCAGATGACGTAGAACTCAGCTTAGGTAAACCCGCTGTGATAATGGAACCTTTGTTGCATATCGCAGTTCGAGACAGAGGTATCGTAGAGTTGCTGTGAGAATGCAAAATACTGGAGGTAAGGCGCTCAATCTGTCAAGCCGTATAAGCTGTGTATTTTAAGGAAGTATTAAATGAGAGATATGTTAGATATATCATCTTTCCTTAATAAGCTTACACGAAATGTTTACTCAGGTAACATTCCGACCTCTTCGTCGTCACGAGAGCCCATAATCCGAGTCGATCGTCTACAGTTGTTCGTCTTCTCGATGTGGCCTCTTGGTCTTCGTATCGAGCCAGATCTTCACTCAGTGAGAAATCTCTCGAAACAAGCAACTCACTCAGCGATGCTCTTTTATACAGAGCGATGGGTGTTAACAGTATAGATTGTCCGGTGATAACAATGCTTCCAGGACAATCCACCCTACAGAGGTCGGTATCATTATCAGCTACTATAAAGCGTAACAGTATTTCAAAAGCGACTTTCTTTTAACCTCGATGCCATGTATAAAAGGGCATCGGCAGGTGAATATACTTCATTCAAGACATGCTCCAATGAGGAAGCTCCGGCTCGATACGAAGACGAAGACGCCACGTCGACAATACGAACAACTCTGGACCACCAACCCAGATCATCGTCTCTGATAAAGGGGGTCGAAATGTTAGCCGAGTAAAAATTGTTTATCGGATATGCTAGAATTCGGCTACGTCGGTTATGCTTCAGAGAAAAAAATCGCTCTTGCATTCTATTATTACAGAAAAGTTGACGTGGCTGAGTGGTCAAGTCAAGTCCACGTTGGCTAGCAAAGCATTAGTAAGATCGTTGAGTCTGAATGGGTAAAACACACTTTTATTATTGTCAGTGTAATCGGAGATGGATCCACTTCGGTTTACTCACAAGCGTTCCACAAGTATTCGTGAAGTGGTTTTTTTTTCTGATTTATGCGTATCCGTATGGTTTTCTCCGCTTGGTTGAGCTCGGTAAACATCCTCCGTTTGTCACTTGATTCTCCTCGGCATCTTCGTTGAAACGATTATTTAGTAAGAATTTGCCGTCAACGCCTACACTATTTTCGCTGTAATCGAGCGACTTCCTTGACTCATGCAATACGGCTGTGAACAACTTGGAGACGTGATGTTGCGCTGTCGAACTCAGCAATCACCTAGAGTTCCAGGAGAGGGCCATTCCTTCGGAAGCGGTGGTTTTTGTAGTCTACGAAGGCTGGAAAAAGAAGTAGGAAAGTCAGAAGCCCCAATCTTCGTCAACGACGAAAAATTAATGATTTCGCTCTATAAGCTAAGCTGTCGAAGATAAGATGGGCTGGACACATGCGTATGAACGACAACTGATGGACAAGAGCCGTTACTGACTGGATCGCAGAAATATCGAAGGCACAATAGTAAGACCACCGGCATGATAGTCAAGGTTCTTCGGGAAAATGCTGGAAGAAAGATGATGCTCAGCGGGTCACCAAGCAAAACCTATTCGGCTACTCTCGCAAGCAGCAGAAACAAATAGAGACACTATCTGGGCCCGCTTGAGTCACTCGACGATCAAAAGAGGATATACAGGCCATAGAACAGTGATAAAGAAATGGGTGTGACTTACTATCCGAAGATTAGCGTGAATAGCTGCGTTTGTAGACATTTTTCTGATGTTGCATATGCACATCACGAAACAGTCTCTATGGCCACGACTTTATAATGAAGATTGCATTGCTCTTTGTCGAATTCGTCTGACATATAGGTATCAAGGTTTTTCATGCAAGTTGTGTCGTTTTGGACGGTTAGTGTTGGCTGTCGCACTGGTCATGTGAACGTCTTCCACCTGCTTCATGGTTTTCTCCATACAGGACTTCACCGGCGACCTGCGAACTTTGTGCTCAAGAACGATTCCCTGGATAAATTTTCTGATAACACCTCGAGCTGCTTTCGTAGTAGTACTTCCAAGTTGGAGCTTCTAAAAAAGTTCAGCACGAGTTTCTTTACTTAAAACATCATTTCAGCTAGCTTAAATCCTTGTTAGCTGAAGGAATAAGGAAGAAATGAAGCGAATGCTGGAGGACAACAATGTGAGCAAAAAGCATTTGTTACAAAATGAACTAGCGAAATTCGTCATGGCAAAGTGCGGTGTTATTCTTCATTCAACTGAGGTGTTTTAATCAAATAAGAGAAAGACAAGACCATCCATAACTTTTGAAACACGCTTGTTCAATGCTCCATGAATAATCCTCGGCCTGGGCTGATCACACACGAGCTGTGAACCGCTAGGAGATAAAACATCTGTCAAGTTCTCTAATTCTTCACCATTTCTTACATCTTTAATACTTCATTCGGCCTGTATTTAGTTTCCTCCGATATATTATAATAACGATTACTCACATACGTAATTTATTTCTATCTTTACTACCCGAATCTTCATGTCAGCTAGTCACCACCTATTGAACACTTAGGTGACTCGTCGCCACATGTCGTGAGGCTCTCGGCAAATCGTTTCATTGCCTTGCAAACGTCATCCACAGAGGAGGTAAAGCCTGTATGCGTGGATTCGGCGGCGGCTTATCTATATGCCAACGTATTGAATGCTTGCAAAGCAAGGTTTTCCTCGAATTCCAGGACAAACGTGCTAGAGCGTTCCCAAATCCTCATCACTGACCTTTGCGTATCGGAGTGAGAACCGCTGTGGTGGGCAGTGATTCTTGGGAGTAGTCAGTCGACTACCAAGGAGAATGCAACAGGTCTATTTGAGCAGAGCTCACCTTACGACAAGAACCTTATAGTAGAGTAGCTGCAGTTACGAATTCTATGCAAAATTTTCTGTCATCGCAACTTCTTATTGTATTAAACAAAATCATTTCGTAAGAGTGCCACCTTTAATGGTCGGAGAAGCTCCGATGCAAGGTTTTCGCAAATTTTGCGAAGCTCGATGTCGAGAAAACACCGAGGAACAGTCCAAGGAAATTCGTGTCAACAGTCGTCAGTTTTCGCAACTCATTTAAAATATTATTGTTGACTTTTAGCACTGAACCACTGGTTCATCGTCGAGCACGGAGAACAGTTACGAGTGTGTAGACGGTAGTGTTGCGTTCACTATCTAATAAGGAATATTTTTTGGTAGTTCACTCTCCAATGTCGTATACCGTATCGCATCCGTTATCAGCAGGATTTCAATTCCAGTCGCTTTCTAGGTATTTCATTTGGTTTCTTCTTTGCTCTTGTTTTATATCACAGTTTCAACTTATCTGTCTTGACTGAAAGGGTGCTATCAGTTCACCAATATATCTATCTGAGCCTGGCCAACTCCTGATAAACTCTTTTTTTATTATCCAAAAGCAGCCCAAAAGGCATTGTAGAAGTGGCCTATTTATCACTGAGATATAGACAATAGGGCCATAACAACTGAAGCAAACTCTGACGACAGAAAAAACATGTAAAGTATACTGTATCGAAACATTCTTCGAAACATCTAATGGCACCAGGAACTAAGTCTCGTGGTGACAGAACACTCCACAGTTCCTCGCCTGAGATCACCATCGAGAGGAGAAGCGGACTCAGAGAGAGATCGAGTATGGATGGTTTCACTGGTCGGGTCATGGGCTCAACAAGCTCAAAGACAAAAATTTACCTTTCTACTTCCATTCGAATTTGCTTTTTTTCAAATCGCTGTCATGCTATATCCTCAACGCATTGTTAAATCCTATCAACTTTTTTCGAGATTCATTTAAATTATTGGACTACATGTGCGATATTTTCGAGGGTTTATAGATTTGTGTAATGCAAGCTACGTATGTCCTGGATTCGAAGAAGAGCAGCGGATTTCGCCCCAACAACGGTGCGGAGGTCATGAGGTCACGAGTCACCCACTTGTCAAGCTTTCTGGGTGTTCACCAACAGTTTTCAGTGTTCGTAGGCCCTTCAATTCAAAGCACTAGTCCAGAAACGATTTATTCGACACCTGTCTGACGACCATTGTCGACGACCCTGTCATCATCTCCCGAAATGACTTTACATCATTGTTTACTTCTGCTCAACCAGGTGCGATTCATTTTCATCTGACATTCTTGAGGTCTCCATCTATTGCGAAGGGATCCGTTATCCATGATATCGCGTTCTGCAGTAGTTTATAAACTATAGGGGACTGTTTACACTAAATGGTATTCCAGGTCAATAGAACCACCACCAATGCAAACAACTCATAACAAGTTTTCATTAGGACAAAGAGTTCCACTGTCAGTTCTTTTTGGAGCTACCAATGTGACGACGTGACAAGGTGTCCTAAACTGTAACAAGCTGAACATCACAAAACTTACTTGGACACTGCGATTCATTCATCACATCCCACGAACAACAACTTTCATTTTTTTTGGGTTTAGAACTCTCCACCTTTTGAATTCTCTCTGTTTAACCCTCTAGCAATAAAACAGTGCACAATTTTAGTGACCATCCCGAAGCTCATGGGCGTGTGTGGCACTGTGGTCGGAGGCGTCCTGCAATACACATGCGATCGATCCCCTTGCCCCATGCTCACCAAGCTTGATTAACGCTGAGAGCTTTATCTTTTATCCTTTATCCCAAAGATGAAGCAAGGGACGGAACTAGAATCACACTAGTTTTAAAGGACATGTTTTTACTGAGGATATGTTATTACTTAGAGATGAAGTTACGTCAGCACCGGTGTTTGTCGACAGGTGTTTTGCCGCCTCCCGTCCCGCCAAGTGTCTCGATTGTCTACTGATTCGTCTTTAACGTCGCACGGTCGTCGAACTGTTCGGTTCATTGTTCCATCACCCATACCAATTTAAATTGCTGACTCGAGCCTAATGTCATTTGCGTCATGCAAAGCTGTCTGCGGATTTCTCATCTGTGGTGGGAATTTAGAAACATGAACGGAATTTATGTTATCCACTAAGAATATGTACTGTAATATCTGCTTCTACTTTGTAGGAGTGCTTACTGCTGACCTAGTAACTTAACATAGTTTTTTATTTCTTTTCAATAATTTGAGAATAAGATTGGGAGAACCAAGCATAACGAGACCTTCACCGCCTTTGTAGTTAATCAAATATGTCCTTACTAGAAAGCTAAACATGACTTCGACTTACCATTCTTGATCTCCATTTTTCTGGTTAACCTATATACCACTAAACATCTGGACAAGCTTGTAGGCAAATCTGTCTTGCACCTGTGTGATTTAGTACCGTTTCTTTTCAGAGATGCTAATCGTACTCGTCTTCTCAATAGTAGCTTCTGCTGCGCCTCAGTGCTCGTTCAATAGCGGAGATATCAACGCCCGCTGGCAGGTGAGAAGTGGAGATCCTGACCAAAGCCTTATCCTGGGTTCAAAGATCTTCACTTTGTAGGTCTCTGACGATGAATTAACGGTTGAAATCGTGAACAAGAATATCGGCGACAACCAGTGGACGGGTATCGGCTTCGGTCCGAGCATGGTTGGTAACTTATTGTACGAATAGAACAATAGCGCTTCTCGAGATCAAATTTCATGTTTATACCGAAGTTTCGCATAAGCTATAAGCTACTGGTGTTCCGACTTTTATTTGCCGCCCACTCTTTTTTCATGGCACAGCATGATGTAAAATACAAACACAAGGGTGCTAAGACAAGAGCAAAACTCGAAACCTTAACAGAGCTTCGAACCCGAGGTTACTTTTAAAACTGTTATACCTTCAGTAGTCTCAAAGGATTTAAAATTCGTTCTTCGTTCGTTCTCCTGTTAATACTTTTGATAATGTATTCTGTAACATCACACACGGTAACTGGTATTGGGACTTTTCATTATCTCAAGTAGTTTAACTTTTAAGCCACCTTCCAAAGCCTTTATCTCCGTGGATTATTAAAATTGATGTCTTTAGAGTATTCCGAATCCCATTCAAGCTTCCTCTAGACGGTTTCTCACCTCATCATGTTTTGTCACCAAAAACCTGGTCTTATAAGTTTGAAGTGATCGAACCTAATGTCGAAACGGGTTTCCTCCCACATTTTGCTCTTATCGCTTCGATCAATCGTTTACTGGTGCAGAAAACAACCTAATAAAAAAGAACTGGAATGGGTAAACGGTTGCAGACCATTGCATTCTCAACAGTTGAGGCTAATCTTCCCTGGGATCGCAATGCGATGTTAGGCTGAGGATTCAGCTATGATTATAAGTGATTCCTAAGACTTACTTTCTATGAATATCGGCGTCGAAAAACCTTGAATTATCTGCAGCTTTGTTAGGATATTCAGATTTCTTGAATGCGAGAAAGGTGGAGGTGGAGGGAAGGGGAATACTTGTATGTCGTTTCTGTATCCACTCGTCTGAGGACGCGTTGTCCTTCATCGAACTCCAGTAACTCGCTCTACTCAATGGTTATTTGTAGGCAAACAATTTTCCGTAACGCCCAAATGACATCGCAAAATAATGATTTTAATGTTTTAAAGTTGCAGAAAAAATTGATGAAGATAGATGAGCGGAGAAAAAAATGTCTCACTGTTCAAGAATGACCTTGAAGTGGTACTGGTGAAAATCGAGAACAGCAAGCCAACGTTGCTCACGGGCTTCACATCCAGCTACGGTCCACCAACGCTGGATCCGACTGCAAATGTCGTCCCATCTCTGCTCAGCTTCAATAGTAGGTTTCTATACTATGAGAAATAGTTGTAGTAGACATAAAATAGAGAATGAATTTTCATCCAGGCATCGTTTCATTCAGTAGAAGTTCGATTTACTATCAGATTGAAGACGACCTTTGCAAACACAAAGAGAAAGCTAAGCACGAAACGCTTAAAATGGCTTGCCTGACTAACTAGATTTCGCTTTGCTATACAGGTGAAGGAATTCAGAGAATTTCAGGCAATCAGCTTAGGCTGCGGTTCACTCGTAGCCTATCCACACATGGAGTGAGGAGCCACAGTGTGGAAGGATGCCAGCAATGGAACGTGGGTGATTGTCTTGGCTTAGAAAGCACGTTCGGAAAATTTTGATCAAATGTAGTCGATCTTTAACAGAAAAAGCAACTGAAGCAAAAGAATGGTCACCAATGAAATCACGATCGAAACCCTCTTAGTTTCCCAGCTTATCTATCGTAGCTCAATGAGGGATACGTGAACAGTTATTTACATCAGACGTATTTAAAAGAAGAAAATAATTTAAAACTAACAATATTTGCTGCGGAATGCAGTGACCGCTGAAATTGGCTTGTATCTATCTTTATATTGTTAACTTTTTATTTGCTGCCTTCTACAATTTTTCATGGCAGGGTATTATCCGAAATACAGCCAAAATGATGCTGAGATATTGCAAAACTCCGGACCGTAGGTGTGTGCGGTGGGGACCGAGCGCGCTATTACCCTTTCCGGGTGCTAACACGCTCACCACCATACCATACGGTATCTTTATATTGTTTTTATTTTTATTATATGCAAGATATTGCCAGCTTTCTACCAGTTTTCCTGGAGTTGTAGTCCAGTTACATACAGAAGTATTTCAGCTGTAACTCCCGCGACCGACTTTCTATTAACCTCGGCATTGATCAAGTAATTCTTCGTATTTTTGTTGAGCAAACGCGAGGTGTTACTATTCTTTGTTCACGATTAAGCTGATGTTTCGGCGGATTTCGCCTTCCTCAGAGCCTGGAAAGGTCAAGTTGATAGCAATCTACTCGGCCAGACGCCTCCATAGCCAAACAAAGAAACTCTAAACCAAGATTTCAATCACGTTGAACACAGCTTTGCACACTCACCGCTTTCTATGGGGTTTCCACTGTCACGTAGAGACCAACCGCACATAAATCGCATGGAAGCATAATGTGCCCCTCACATCAGAAAAGCAGTTTTATATACTGCCCTATATCACGCGTGATAATGAGGCATTCTTCCCTGCGGTTCATTTTCGGATTTCTGGAATTAATCCAGAATGCCTCGAGAGTTTTTCGCGCCTGTGTTCTTGATTCGCGTGCGAGGATCGTGACACATACTTCGAAATTCTCCCCGTTATGTCTCTGGGTCCTATGCGTGCCTAGCGGGGTATTTGGTCTATGTTTGCCGGCTTTCCAGGCTCTGAGGAAGGCGAAATCCGCCGAAACGTCAGCTTATTCGTGAACAAAGAATAATAACANAAAGTCGTCCCCGTTATGTCTCTGGGTCCTATGCGTGCCTAGCGGGGTATTTGGTCTATGTTTGCCGGCTTTCCAGGCTCTGAGGAAGGCGAAATCCGCCGAAACGTCAGCTTATTCGTGAACAAAGAATAATAACACCTCGCGTTTGCTCAACAAAAAAAAAGAATTACTTGGTCAATGCCGAGGTTAATACAAAGTCAGTCGTGGGTGTTTCTCTCTAACCTTGCCAGAAAACCGCTCACGTAACTTATGTTCGTACCGTAGACATCACGGGTGATTTCACGAGCCATACAAAGTTACCAAGATGGCGCACAGGCGTCACACACACACACACTTTATCACGATGACCAACTAACCGCTTCTGCCGTCTACGGGCTATGTAAAGGAAGCTGCTATTCAATGAATGGCACTCATAATGTGTGGTGCGCGCCAATCCACCATGACGTCTCAACTATTCATAGGTTTAACACATAACGTCGGAGATGTGCTATGTGCCATGCATGCCTAAAGGGGGAAGTGGCCGAAGTGCATTGTATTCAATGCATTTCCTTTTCAGTGCTTTATTTTGTTACACAGAGCTCTTTCTATCGTTGCTATTTGTACCTTTTGCATTCAATCGATAGTTTGTCCAGCTCATGTACCATATCAGCTGTGACCAGTGAAAAACCGCCCTCTGCATTTAATCATTTGCAAAAAACTTTTCTTTGAATGGATTCGTTTTGCGGCAAGAGAACAGTGCTGTTGTAGACAGTATGCACCACAAGGAATGTTGGTGATGAAAAAGCCACAGACACTTCTCCATTTGAACATAGTGATAAGGTGACATATCATTGAGATAGTTCTTCGGACTGGTTTGGTGTTCATAGAGTATGTATTCATCAATGCACTTCCATGCACTTTATCTTTAGGAACACTCACCAATTCTTAAGTCCAAAACTAATATGTATTGCTGAAAAAACAGAATTGCTCATTATTTCCCGTGTTTTAACGCTGTCGAGTTGTCAAGTTGTACGAGTACTGTGTTTGTGCGTGCAGACGCCACGAAGTAGGCGTCACCCCATGTGGTAAACACTCAAGCACAAGCATGAGGTGAATTGGAACGGTCTACACAGATTATTGTTGTCGATTTCACCGTCATGCAAGTAACCCTTTATTTCTTTGTTTCTTAATCTCCATATGCAGGTTGTGACCGAATTTAGGTGTGCTATGTCTATCGCTACTACCTGTTCTAAAAATCTGTCCCAAATCACAGTGTGTTTCAGCTAGTGAAGGAGGGCTATCTGAATAACGGCGAAGTCGGTTCGCACTCCAACACACTAGTGTCTATTAAAGTGTGTCCGGAAGAATGCAAGAAGAACGTCATGCATGAGTGAACCCTTCCCGTTGTAGACGCCAATCTCGACATCGACATGACCAGGATGGTCGATTCACAGATCACCACTTGCTAGTTGCTAGCCTTCAGTTCTCTCCTTCTTGGAATAGTGCTTTCGAATAAAAAAGTGCTCACTGCGTTTATAATTTGGAACCATTTCTGAATAACATACTTCTGGTGTTTCTCATAAACTTTTTAATCCTCATTCTTGTGATATTTCGTTTCCATGAAGCGTTGACGACAATATTTGTTTTGCAATTGCTTTTTGTAATTAAATATTGGTTGCTGATAAATGGATTTGTACGAATACTGATTTTAACCACAATGATGCTGAGATATTTGTAAAACTCCGAACCGCAGGTGTCTGCGGTGGAGGTGGAACGCGCTATCACCCTTTTCGGGGGCGAACGCGTTCACCACCACACCATGCGGGTCCTTCATTTAGTCTATCTCTCACCTAGTTCAGGTTTTAACCATAAAAAGAAAAAGGGGTTTGTTTTAATGATTTCTTATGGTCTTCAAATAGTTAGGCAGTAATTGAGGATGCTCTGTAAAATCGAAATAAAGCTGGATATTCCTCTTGATCACAAGTTTCTAATCCTTGAATTCCCTTAATAAGAGAGTGAAAAAAAAAACAATTTCCAGTTTATTCCTACAACTCCTCTAGGCCCAAACGGAGGTATTCAAAATCAGGGATATCAACCTGTGGTGTTAACGGTGATGGTTTATGCCTTCAGGAACGAGTGCTTCGTAATAACAATAACACAAATCAATTTCATTAACACCCACAAAAAGGAAAAAAGGATAAAATTCTCGACTTCGATCAATCCCAGAGAGATGCGTCATGCATGAGACTTGATTACGCATCATTGGAGATGATTGAATGCATATGTGGCCTTTACAACGACTCATGATAGCCTACCGAAGTATCGACCCAGTGGTGCTGTTCTCCCAGACAAATGTAGTACTAATTTGCCAACGGCGACATGATGGAAGGTTTGGTGAGCCTTGGGCGCCGACATTGATCCCATGTGTATTGCAGGACCCCTCCGGCCACTGCGCCACACGCATCCTTTGGAAACATAAGCAGATGGAAATTTCAGCAAAGGATTAGTTCAGAAACGAAGAACATTATGTTTAATAAACAGCTTAAACCTATGTGTGTGCATAATTAGTAGAGACAAGTGATTAAATTCGCTTCCTTGCAGACTTTGCCCTCCTCTTTCAAGTAGTGGATACGGCTTCTGTATTGTCTTCCAGTTTTATTTCTTTGCAAGCAAATTTGATAGCAATAGTTTCCTACACTATTAAGCTGCGCGCGTTTGTTAGAGGGCTTTTGCTTGACTAACGTTACCGCACCTTCGCCTTCTTCAGAGCCGATAGAAACCAATAGCATGATATAGGTAGCATTTTTGCGACCTCCGTAATGTGAAGGAGAACACGATGGAGCCGAAGAGGTGCTGAACTCGCGACCTTGCATGGCATTTACTTCTTACTCCATCGATGCACATCGGCCAATAACGTTTGCGAAGTTACTATATCTTCTTAGGATAACCATTTTCTACCTACAAGTAACAAATGAAAGTTTGAAAAAGTTGCCACAGAAATATATGCTCCCTAAGCAGACTGTGAGATTTAATAATATTAGAACGGATCGAAAGAATCTCATTCTTCTGGATGTGTTGAGGGCGTTGCTTCAAATACTTTTCATTAAACAGGCTTTTTATTAATAATGGAACAATTTCACACAATGAGAGAGGAACTACCGCCATCAGAAAGAAGACAATGGAAAATTGTTTTAAATAAGGACATTCTCGATGAAATCCTTTGCTCATACGAGTAGCGTATCAAGAAAGACTTGACCAAAGGTTGCGGCCGTTTGTCGAAGGACTTGGTACTTGTGCTGAACTCGCCCTACTTTATGAAAGAAAAAGTTCGGACCGCATCTCTATCACCACAGAAGAGTTGCACGAAAAGACAAGGACATTGAAGCTTGGTCCTACTTCGACACAGCTAATGCAACTGATAACAAATTCCAGCTGAAGAAGGTCCTTACGGGAGGATTTAAATCGATACAGATAGAAAAGCCCTAGGAAGCAGCTCAAGAGCGATATAATCTAAAGAAGTGTCGTCGGGATATATGCGACTGCAATTTTCCGCAATGAGCACTGATGAATGATGACACTACTACTACACCCTGCTATGATATAGAATTAATAGTAGAGAACCCTCTGTAACCTTTCCCGCTCCGTAATCTCCGTTGGGGACCTCGAAATCCCCGCTGGAGAAAAGCTGTCCGTGATTCTCCCGTCTAAAGTCAGACCTGAGATAGGAACTATGAAGAGAGACGCAGCTTTAGGACCGGATAATATTACAGCCGCTTACCTTTGGGCTCAAAGTCGAAGTCATATATACTTTTCGTAAACGAAGTGAAATCACATGCTTAAAAGAAGAGGATCGCTGACCAGTGGGGGAATCTCACGGTTATCCTGCCCAAGAAAGGAAAGGAGAAGGAAAAAAGGAAGAAGGACAGGAAAAGAAAACCTGTAACTAGCTTCCAAATAGTACGTTTCCTGTGCACAAGCTTTTCGCGAAAATTATCCTATTGCTCCTCATAATGGCTTTGAATGAGACGGAATCACTTCAGCAAGTAAGATTCTGAGATGGACTTCTTTGTGAGGGCCACTTCCAAACAATATTCTTGTTCATAATAGGTTATTGAGAGTACCACTGTCGTAAACTTTATCGACTGCGAGAAACCGTTTTACTGCGTCGAGACAAACACAGTTCTATAAAGGATCGTTGACCGAGAAGTGAATCCGTCCTACATAAAAACTGTAATGAACTGTTATTATAACACGAGCAAATACAGCATCGCGATCAAGTCTTTTCCGTCCTCATAGGCAGATGGGTTCCATTAGGTGAGATTATCTCACCAAAGCAGCGGCACTGCAATTCATAACGAAGCAACTTGATTGGGGTTAAAGCAGCGTAGGCGCATTGATGGCAGTTCCTCGTCAGATTTTCGTTCTGGTAACAGCATTATTATTTTCCGAAGACTACGAATAAAATAGAGGCGTTCAATGAACATTTAAAAAATATGGAGAAGAAACTACACAAGAAGTAAGCATTACAGACAGTGTTCAAGTCTCTCAAAGAAGTCACTGACCAGCTGACGGTCTCGAAATTACGCCCTCCCCTCATCGCTTCAACGATGTTCAAACACGCTTAGTTTTTTATTTACTGCCTATTATTTTTTCACGGCAGGATAATGTGAAGTACAACAACTATGATGGTGACATATCCGCAAAGCTTGTAAGCCAGGTTAGATTCGAACCGATGACTACCATTTCCGGGAGCTCACGTGTAACTGTAACTCATTGCACTACTGTAGCCCTAGGTTTGCCTTTCTATCAGGCAGTTTTTATCCTAACGATGCTATTAGCATGCAACCACCAGTAGGAACTGCGGTTGTAGTCTAAATCGCAATATCAAGCTTTTATTTACTGCCTATTATTGTTTTTACCTCCACACCGTTTACCGCCTCATCGTGACTAGGAGGTGTTCCTGGGCATAGGGCTGCGATGTACAGAGTGTGGCTTCACCCTTTGGCAGAACCTCCCAAGCTCAGAAGAAGTCCGGCGTTTCTATCAGGAACCCTAAGTAAGAGTAAACCAATATAGTGAGTGTTATTTTTCACGGCAATGTATGATGATGGTCTCTGCATTCCTGCTGACGAGTGGCTGCTGATAGCAGCGTTTGGTCAAACAGCTGTCTAAGAGAAAGGTAAAGCAAGGACCTCAATAGTGCAGTGCGTAACACGTGATCTGCCTGTGAGAAAAAAAAAACGTAATCGTGGGTTCGAATCTGGCATCACACCGTTCCGCTTTGCAGGAGAGATTTAGGGTCATGTCGTCCACGTGAAAAACTTGCGCACCACCCACAAAGTGATTTCTAAATTATAAAATAATGGCAGTGTCTAGCTAAAATGTCAGTATAGGCCTTTAAGGCCTAATTCATTTTAAAGAACCAGAAAACATACGTCGATAGCCAAACATAGACGGGCCGGTAATGAGAACGGAACGTTGAATAGACGACAAAAATTGTGACCTTCAGCACGATACCCACCGGGAGGGCTGTTTATTCGAAGTGATGATGGGTTTGTGGCCCACGTTAGTCAAGTTCATTCGCAGGCTGAAACGAATTACTGCTCATGGAATATGTATTGCAAGCCCCGCCCTGTTTAAAGCAGACCACCACCAAGCATTACGGTTATGACGCGAGAAGAAAAGAATGGGAAATGCGTCGAGGCATGCATTGTTAGTGAATATAAACCGTTCGAGTATCTAATTAAGTAAGTACTTATTAACAATGACTGAATTAGTTCATTAAATGAGATTCATGGAACACTGGAGGGAAATTTGCCGTTTGCGTTCATCGTAGGATTTGAAAGCGTGACGTAGTTGGACTCTCCTCGAACCGTAGCACCAGTGATCACGACTGTATGAGCGCCACTGCCCGGACACTCAAACTTCGCTTGTAGTAACACCTTCTCCAGAATGGATCTGAAAAACCATGGGCGCCTTCAAAAATGAGAAATTTTTTGGGATTGTAAGATCGTGTCAAGAGGTATAACTGGCAACAGCGACCAGGCTTTCTGATAGTCATCAAAGGCCGATAGAAAAGAACAACAAGACAAAAGATTTTTGGTCTGAAAACATTAAAGATTAAAGCCATCGTTCAGTTGCTGGACAAAATACCACATCTAAATACAGGAACTTGTTCATGGCTTCCAAAAAACTTGACTCACTTGAGCGCACGAGCTCCAGTTTTTCGCTGCACAGCAATTCGAGCCATTTCGTTGATCGCTCCACGCGTAAGTCTTTAGAGGACACACATTGGTTAAAAGCAGTTCATCAAAAATTAAAATGACTCCCCCTTCAATACCTGACTCTGAAGCGGTAATATCATGAGTTTCACATATCAAGTAAAGATGGTTTGTTTGAGATTTGTGTTTAAAGCGATCTACAACTCAGCTGCTACATTTCAGATAGATACAGTCGTTCAAGGTCGCAGTTTCGAATCTCGAGTCCAACTTAGAGCATGAACTTCTTATCTTATCATACTAGTTCATGAATTATGGAATTATCAATAATTTGTACCAAAAATCAAATCACTCCGTGTTCATTCTTCGTTTGGCTCCTTGCTTGTCTTTAAAAGTGTGGTTCAAATTCCCGCCGCTAACATTTGTGAGTTTAACCATCACTCACTTCAGCTTGATATTGTCCATTGCAAAAAATCGTTGAGCTTGCAAAATCAGATTGTTATGAGGTTCATTAAGAACTCGAATAAGCATCTTCTCATCCAAAGTGTGGAATGGTACAAGAACCGGAAATCGCCCCACCAGCTCAGGCACCATTCCGAACCTAGACGACTTTTCATGGTCGGATGAAATACTCCTCAATCACTCCTTAAAACAGATAATTTACAGTAACTGCGGAATATAGCGCCTAAGCCTACTGCATCAAGTCCGATGAATCTGCTAGCTGGAATAGTTCATTGCGCTTCTTAGCAGCTATGGTTTCATCAGAATCCGAAAGATCCTCGACCATATCAGTGAATGCAGCACCAAAGCCAAGTACACTGAAATATCAAAAAGGAAACGATTCCTATCTCACTTCTCATTGAGCGCTACTGGAAAGATCAATGTAAAAAAAAACTAAAAATTAAAACAAACTCTCATTCTAAATTGCAGTTAGGAACCTTCGTTGCAACATTCTCAGAGGATTTTCAATGTCGTTGCTATCCCGGTTCCCACTAGGAATTCATGATTTTCATTTCAACCCGTCGTGGTGACCCACTTCGCGGCGCTGTATAAATGGCCATATATGGCGTTGATAGAGGGTCAAATGTGTATTTTAAAGTTTCATTGTTGCAAAAAATTACCAGCACTCGCAAACTTGCGTAGATTGAAGATTAAAGGAATGGACTTTTGCCACAAAATGAGAAAACACATGAAAAGTAATATGAGATCGTACAAAAGGACCACCGAAAAGATGTGTTTCAAAGAGTCGAATAACAACAGCGGACGGAGCTCATTCATGCGCTTCGAGGCAGAGCGACACGTGCTGCGAAGGTCCACTTAGGTCTGGATTGTCAGGCGTAGCAGCAAGCTGAAGCTGTGACCGAGTTAGAGAAGAACGCATGAAGAGTTCGACTTCTTCATATTATCACTTGCACATTGCAGTGAAGCACGGCAAAGTGCGTTCCTCTTGGGAAATGCAGCATTCTCATCTAGAATGACGATCCGAGCAACGCAGCTGTGTATCCCTGCTACTTCACCACTTTTGAAGAGTCCTTCTGAAAAAGGTCGCAAATGAAGATTTTCTTGCATCACTATCGAAACATGTGTAGCTCGCTACCGCCTGGCTCGCTAGCCGAGAGGATGCGCCAGTTATGTCGAACCCTGATACCCAGTGTCGCATGCCACTGTTTGAACTCGGATGGCATGATTTTCCGAAAGTTGTTGCAACTCAAGCAAACATTGAACTCCAACCGTTCAACACATTGATTCCGCAAAGTTGTCGCCACAATGAAAAAAGAACCATGCGTCTCGGAGCCTAGCATATACAGAGCAATGCAATTTCCCATTCGCCAAATTAATTCGCAGGCAACTAGAGGTGTTAAACTGGGCTACGGAACCTTTCTCAAACAGCGTCTTCAGTACTCCTTTGGAACCCCGAAGCTTGCGATAAGAAGCTTGACGAGTAAGACATTTACAGAAGTGTTCTCACCGATGAAGTGAAATCAGGAATGAAAACACATTTAAAACAGAAAATTTTTCAAACTAGGCTAAAAATTCACTGCTGCGTCAATCAATACAATTAATAATCATTACAGCACAATCAAGTACAAATAAGATTATTGATACACATGGTTCTTCTATCATGTAGCAAAAACATCTACAGAGTTCGTCGAGAGATATACTGTACTGTAAGGTCATACTTCGTGATAACCAAAACTGTCTTGAAAGGGAGCCAATAAGTCTAATTCGGGACGATGGATTCATGGCAAAGCTAATTTATCAACAATTTTTCCCACGACTCCTGCCATGGTGATGTTGTTGCAACAAGGAAAAGTCCTACTGCTCCTTGACAATAAGGTAATTACAAATAGAAGAACTGTTTCCCTTCCTTTTCATCTATTCCACAACCATCAAAGCCGAAGCGTAAAGTGACTAACCGCTTGTTTATCCTTTTTGCAATGATCCGCTCCAGATTTGAAAATGCACCGGAAGCAATGAATAAAATATTTGTTGTGTCGACGTCAACCTAGTAATTATTTTACAATTTAACGGTTCTAAAAACACATTAAGAAAAGTGAATTTTAGAATGCAATTTTAATGAAAGCTAAAGGATAAAGCTCTCAGCGTTGATCAAGTCCTCAGGGATGCGCCATGCATTCGGCATCATTAAGCATCGTTTGGAAGTGATTGAATGCATATCTGACCCTTTATAATAACTCGCGGTGGCCCACCGATATATCGAGCCAGTGCTGCTACCCTCTCAGACAAGTTTGGTACTAATTTGCAGACCCCGGAGGGATGGAAGGCCTGGTGAGCCACGGGAGCAGGGATCAATCTCATGTGCGTATTGCAGGGCGCTCCCGATCACTGCGCCACACATGCCCTGTACGTTTTTAAAATTTCAATATTTGACGGCTTGAATAAACCTCTGAAAATGTTCTAAACCTTGGTAAATTCAGAAAAGGAAGTTTATCCGCGGTTTTGAGAAGATTTAAGACTCACCTTGCTTACTATCGGTCCTGGTATTTTCACTCTCGCAACTGTTCCTTCAACTAGTTTCAGAAGCGCCTGCTGAACCCCTAAAGCTTATTTGTTTTTCCAGTTTTACAGATTATTGGTTAGCACTTTGTGGTATTATGCCAGTTTTCTCAACAACGTTGCCGCTTTCTGATAGCTAGAAGTCTTTTGTGCTATGAGATGGGTGTGATCGAAATGCGAAATGTCTCCCAGGGTCTCCAGCAAATTCTTTCGGGCTTAGAAGAAGTTCAATCCGGAATTCCAGATAAGAGTAGGCCCTTGCTTGAATTAACGCCATCTTGGCAGCAATATAGTCACTAGATTACAAGCAGTGACCATTTAAGAAAGGAATCTTTGGTTTGTGGAGCATGGTTGTGCTCCCACGATTTGTTGTAATCTGTGAAGACGGAGTATCCAACTATTCGTGCAAGTAAGCATCCCAATTCCTGGGTCTTGAAGATAATGAACAACCCAATTACCACATTTTCTTAACGTGGATTTACTAGTCAGAACTCGATACTTTACTGTGAAAACACTATGTATATATATATATATATATATACATGTATGTATAGGTATGGTTAAATATTTCACAACTAAACTGTCTGATTTTGGACAACTTTTTAAGGTAACATCGATTGAAAAACGATCCATAACTTCTAAGCGACGACATGAGAACAACACCCTATGCAAAATCGCAAGCATCGTTTGGAAAGTCCCTTCTCTCCGATTGTAATGGAAGTCATCGCTATGATACGGAATTTCCATCGGCGCTCACCACTTGTGCACAGTTGTACGATATTGGGTTAAGGATAAAACGATAAAGAATTCGGCGCAGATCAATCCCTGAGGAATGGGAATCGCTAAATCAAGCTTCGTGGAAATGATTGAATGCATATCTCGCCCAAACAATAACTTGCGGTGGTCAACCTTTTTATAAACCCAGTACTGCTGTCATGCCAGACAAATTTTGTATAAGTTTGGTGATCTCAGTGAGATGGAAGCCTTGGTGAACCTGGGCTTGGAACAACCCTGAGAAAGATCCAGAGTATGTTGAAGGGCATCTTGTCTGTTCTTCACGTGCCCTATGATGCCAGGAACTATCACATTCTAGTGAATCCTAAATAGCGACATGGGCCCAAATCTACATTATTTTGTATTGAAATTTATATTCTCTATTGTTGCATTAAAAACCCAAATGAGAGAAGTTTGTGAGCCTGCACAAGCAATGCGGGCAGGACTAAAAAAATTGGAACCTACCTCGTCCGCTGACGTCACGATTTCCTACGGAATGTATTGGATCGCTAGAGGACTGGATCTTGTCGAACTCGTCAAGGAACACGATTCCATGCTGAAACAGCTTTTTTGCTTGCTTGCTTGCTAAACATGTTTTTTTATTTCTCACAATTTGTCCGCCTGGCTTTGATTACTCTTGTGGCCTTCGGCAACGTAGAGTGCGAGTACTCAATAAACAATGTGGTAGTGCTCAACGATAAAGTTGCACTGAACGCTTTAAGTCAGTACTCCCAGAACTCTCTTATGGAATCATAAGTCTCTAGATTTATGTTGAAATAATACATATGTTGTAGCTCATGAGTTCTGAAGCGTGCAATGATTGCATGGTACCAGTAAGGAGGTTGAGTAAAGACATGTACGATCTGTGGAAACTATGAGAAGCACGCACACACTGACGCCGATGTGACCCCTCTGAGTAGCTATTACGAAAGCATTGCTTCAGAGAGAGTTGAGCACAAAGTGTAGATGCAGAACGGAATCCGTTGTGAAGAGCCATTCTTAGAAACGTGTGTTTTACCTGTGCTCTTTCGACATTTCCATGAGCGTTAATGAGTAGTTTTTGAATGACTGTTTCCACATCTTCGCCGACGTAACCAGCTTGTGTGAGCGTTGTACAGTCACACATTGCTGAAGTAGACTAGCATTGGCTGGTGCTGCAGTTAGCCTTATCTTCTTTAGAAACCGAAGCAATTCACAGTTGACTACAGTTTCAACAGCTGTGTCAGTCATGACAGAGATTCAATCGCTATACATAGCTCACGAAGTTGACAAATTGGTGTTTAGGACCGGCAAAATTTCAAGCTGACGATTATCACCGGTTATTCGTTTCCTCATCTTAGAAGCTTTGTCTAAATCTGAAATGCCTCAATACTTGAGACGTACGGTTGCTCTCATGTCTCATAGACCTGAGGTCCATGTCCTGTCCAAAGAACGTGTCCTTTATTTCACGATTTCTATCTACGACGGAACTATTTGCGGTTCCACCATTTACTTTTACTTTTCTACTGCTTTCAAAACTAAATCACTATACGATTTTTGGGTACTGCTAGTAGTTCGTAGACCGCGATTTCAATCATTGGTCAGCTCCACGGATCTCTCTCACTTCAGGAATCCTGATTGGGTGCGCAACTACTTGGAAATGGTTGCTGGGTAACGGCTAGAGGATTATACGCAAATCAGAAGCGAGTACATGTTGACCGTTAAAAGCGCATTGGGTTTTGCACATATGGAGGGCCAAAAACCTGCTGAGAAATACGTAGGAAGAAGTATGGGATAGCATGCAGCGAACAAGTCTCACATCTACTGCAGACTCCAAACCTCCCGTTTCTATAACCGGTCCCTGACGGCATAGCCTAATGAGTTACTTGCGGTTACACTCTAGTCGCAAGCATTAAAAATAAATGACCGTTGTACGAGAAGTGTGAGAGCTATTTGTGTTCCTCAAGTGAAAAGTGCTTTCTGAGTTGCTAAAGTGCAACTACGAAATGAAGAGAAGCATTACCTTCGTCGCTCGGTAATTAACGAAGTTACAGGTGTTAAAGGGAATATTGCGAATACACTGAAAGGTTAAGGAACCTTTGATCGACTGTGTTTTCGGTCAATATGACCCTTTCAGTCTCACTGAGAAATACAAGATCGACCGAGAAGTCCGATACGACCAAACAAATATTACATAAAGGATCCGCATCCACTCATCAAGAAAACAAAATCTGATACGCCCCATTTGTCCCTCAAGTACCCTAAGTTAATACAAAGTCGAACATTAGTCAATTTTCGGTACAGACTTTTTATATAAGGCTTCGCAATAATACCTTAGAATTAAAATCAGCCTTCTCGTTTCATCATGATCTGGATGCTATCGTAAGAAAATATGAGAGACTAAAAACTCAAGCACCTATCGGTACGTCGAGTAATCGTGCAAGACATTGTGTTAAATATGTTTTTCCGCTTCCTGACGGGCCCAACAGCACGATGTTCGACTTCTCCATTGTTAGCGGAGCCTGAAAAGTTCTGGATTCATTTATAACCTTTAGCTCTTCGTTAAGAGAGCTTTCCTTGCTAATGTTTACAACAATAATGGCGAACTAAGGTTTTAAGCCCTTGAATGGGACGATTGAATTCTCTCAGGCAGTGTTCAAATTCAGCATCATAACTGTAAGTATTGAATGACAATGATAATGGAAAATGGGATTACTGATTGTTTTTCAAGAAGGTAATGTCTTCATTGATTGTAAACCCTAAACACTGCACTTTTTCTAAACGGCTCGATTGTTGCGCACCTCTTCTTTCATCCGTTCAAATACCGTTTTTCGTTTCGACAGTGGAGGATCCCTGAAATTGGAAGCGTTCGATACTTCATCGCGAATGGGTCGCGTCTCCATGATGAGTCTTACACGTGCCTTGATAACACAGTGCTAATTGTCCAGATATTCCCCTTGTTCTAAGAAATCCCTCCCAACGGTTTACCGTCTCATCGTGGCGGGGAGGTATTGCTAGGTGTCGGGCTGCGATGTACAGCGGGAGTATTCATTCTCCCGGCAAGGTTATTTATGCTGAGATGGAGTCGGACGTTTCCGTCAGGAAGCCCATCTAGGAGTAAACCAGGACTAGGACCCACCACCGCCGTGGTATTAAACATGGTGGCAAATCTCCATCTGATCCACAAGTGCCGCGGCTGTCTGTAGTGGTGACGACCTGGGGCAGACTTTGGTCAAGATGACGTCGGGACCCCAGAGAAATACAATGGCTAGACCAGCCAAACTCCAGAGAGTGGAGAATATGCTAGAGCCTGCACAACCATTGAGGACGGGCCGTGCAAGTTTCCAAGGGTGTAAGTTCCAAGAAATCTGGGACAAAATGTTTCCAGTCTGCCGCAGGCATTTTAAAACCAACCACTCTGTATCGGAGTGATCTTTATCACTAGCGATTATGTTTCTCTCGTTGGAATTTCGAGATGTATAAGGATTTTGAAGACGATTACGCGAAGCGAGTAAGCTTCTTAGTTCTCGATACACGTGCGGCCCGTCATCCTTAATAATTTGAAAACGAAAAAGTAATTTTCTCGAATATTACCATAATGGGATTCAAAACGTGTACCAAAATCAACAGTTTTTTCCAGATATCTTGATATTTTGCTGATATTTAAGCTGCTACCACAGAGAACATAATAACTTGTGAAGACCACATGAATAAGAGAACTGACAATCAAACACTCCAAGAAAAAAGTTGAAAGATGTCAACAGGAAAATACTTCGAAACAAACGAGACATGAAGTGTAATGGTGTGGCGACAGCAGATAGGCGCTTGAGGCACTTGAGAAATGTCTCAGCCACTGTTACCGCAGGTGTAGTGCTCAATTGGTAAGCAAGAGAAGTCTTAAATGGTTCGTTATATTGAAATTAAACGCCTTCTAATTGGAGTACGTATAAGAGGTGGGAAAATTCTACAGCACATGATACACGATGGTTATCCATTCATATTCGCCAGATGTAAAAATAAGAACAAGGTTATTATAAGCACATAAGATGTGTCGATTTTCTCAGCATTGATTTTCTTCAAATACTGACAGTTACAGTTAGAAATAAGTACAGGTGGAACTGGCAGGAGACCTTTGCCAGGAGAACTGTAGATTTCGCGGGGGATATTCGTGCATACGCCCGAAGATGAAAATGATAAAAAAGAGAACGAATGAGGAAAATGATAAAAACAAAAGGGATAAAAATGAGAATGAAGATGACCGAACCAGTGATGAAGATGTGCAGTTTATAATAACATTTCATAATAATATAATAATATAATAATAATAATAATATAACATAATAATAATATAATAACAATTCATGAACTGAAAAACCAGACAGCTTTTAACATTTTGGAAATCATACAGCGGCGAAATGAACATTGTGGTCCACGGGGCTCGTGTAAATGATACATCAAACATCAGTCAGATTTTCAGCGATCGAAAGTGGTGCGTGTCACTGTAAACATGGAAGAACGACGAATAGAATAGACTGAGGAAATAATGAAACATGACGAGGAAGAGGAACTCAGAATTATGAACAGCTAACGCTAAAGGAACTGTTGCGAACAATTGTAAACCTGAACGAATTTTGTGGTACTGGACGCTCACCCGAAAAGTTCGTCATATTCCTCGTCCTCTGTCATTTGTTTCTTTCCTTTTTTCTTCATCGATGAAGTTACTGCATCTCGAATTAATTCGCGCTAAATAAGCCATAAATCCAGTATTTTTTCCTTTGATTTTCGCTAAATGGACTTTTACAGGGTCGGTACTGCATCAGCATCACTACCGACGTGAAGTCCTTCAGCACCATCAAGCTAAACTTTGAAAAAACAAGTCATAGTCGTAAAGCGAAGCTCAGTTGCTAATTCGTTATGCATGAGAAGTTCCAAGCAGGAGTGCGGTTTCACCCAGTAACCCAATGACCAAGCCTCACCCAGTAACCCAATGACACTATTTAATACGATTTTTTTGCACCAAATATCCAGTTACCATATGATGTTGTATTATTTTACTGCTTAAAAACTATTAGGTGGATGATTCAAGCCATAAACGAAGGGAATGAAGCGTAAAGGTATAAAAGTTCAAAGCACGAGATAAAAGTACTTATAAAGTGGACACAGCAAAAAAGTACGATACTTATAAAACAATAAAGGTGGGAAATCTAAGGGATAGGGACAGGATGGTACACAATCAAAAGGGAGAACTAGGGCCACCCAGGTGAACAAGGCTTTTTGGACATCATCTGTTCACATGGCAGCTTTTTATTAGTGGGTATATGTTTTCTTCGATGGCCTCTTCCCAAATTTCATAGATGCTCTATTATTTTCCATTCGTTCCTCGGTTTTGTAACCGCCACACGTGCCAGTGGTCACTTGGCTGTGTTCCAAAACATCGCTTCTCATTTGCATCTCAGTTGCTAGTCGAGCGAAACTTCATCTGGAACCTCGCGATGCGATCGTTTTGCAAGTGCTTTCTCAAACCTCCAGCACAGGCTGTCGCGAATATGACTAGGATCCATTCTGAAGATCAGTGTTACCTACGATTAGTCGGGCAGTTGACAGCGATGAAGGTGACTGAATTCACTTCGACGTTGACACTGAGCAAAACTTTCTCCTAGCGCTCATGGTGGCGATCAGAGTGAAATTTTCACTTAATCTGCTTCCATTGTTAGTAATTACCAAGCCTTTAAGATGACCGAAAAGCTGATCTAGTTGTGAATATCAGCATCTCTTTTGGACGCGTGTGGCGCAATTGTCGGAGGCGCCCTGCAACACACACGTGAAATCGATTCCCGCGCCCACGGTCCACGAAGCCTTCCATCCTTCCGGGGTCGGCCAGTTGTTATCAGACGTGTCTAGGAGGTTAGCGGCACTAGCTCGATAAATCGGTAAACCACCACGAGTCATTGTAAAGGCCAGATATGTATTCTATCATCTCCAAACGGTGCTTAATGAAGTCGAATGCACGGCGCACCCGTCATAAATCAACCGAGAGCTTTATCCTCTCATCCTTTATCAACACTTTGCGCACATATTTTTTCCACGATAAAAAGTTGGACACAGTGAAGGCATAAGTGAGCGAGAATTTCTAGTTAGTTTCATAGAGTGTAAGCATAGAAAGTGTGTTAAACGAATCATTCTAACGTTGATCGTGCAGTTGAAATCTACGTTAAATCAAAGGGAGCCGATGAAATACCACATTCTCGGGCTTTCGCATTATTTTAAAACTTTGCGCCTTCAGTGAGCTTAGCCTGAGTCAGGACTAAATGAATCTTATTAATAATCGTCTTCTTGATCGAATTATTGTCCTAACTGATTAAAATAACTTTGCGAAGAATTTAAACCCAACATTTTGTGTCTCAGTATTATTCTGCAATCTTTTATAGTGCTGATAAACACCAACGGCTAGCGTTTGTTTCGCCAGTTCCTGACCAACGACGAATTTGTCCAGGTACTTAACAATGTCTCTGAAACAGCGATACGTCTAAAGCCTTATTTCTGCTGTCCTAATAAGTAAAGTACGTGGAACGGACAGACTTTGGATATGGCATTTGGAATCTGAAATCTTCGAAATCATCTTTGCCGATTGGAGGCACCAAAGCAATTTGGTTCTGAAAAGCAGTAACTTCACCGAAAAAGCGAGTTAATCCTCTAAAGCAAGAAACAACAAGGGAACAAATTCCCCAGCCATTGCAGTGCGGTGAGCTATATACTCGAATATGTGAATGAATGATGTCATACGTATATGTACAAAATGCTTCCTTCAACTGAAGCCATTTAGAAGGGCATCGTCTCCTTAACAATCATTTGATAAAAAATTAGCGGATGATTGAGAACAGACAACGAGGTATGGGTGAAAACAAGCAGACCCTGCTGTTTGCAGCTTCGAGTGTTAGGTTTGATCTGCTGGCACATTCAGTGGAGAAGCATCAATGAAGACAACAGTCGACCACTTTCGATTTAGAATCAGAGCAAGAGGATTAGGCTGACTTACATTGTCACTGATTTGGAAGTCCCGTGGAGGCCGACGGTCCGTCTGATCTATGTAGCTCTTCTTCGGCAGTCGTCGATGTGAGGTTATCCTGGGAGTGAGATTAGTATAAATGCAGCAGGTAACAAAGAGCGTAGCAATAATTCAAAACCGACTTCCCTCATTATTAAACCTTAAAAACAAGTTGCTATTACCGGATAATCACTACTATCAACAACCAACGTCCTTTACAAAAAAGCATCGTCGGGTGAGTATGTCTCATTCGAGAGATGCTCCACTGAGGAAAACCTGACTCGTTACGAAGACGAAGATGCCACATCGAGAAGTCGAACAGCTGTGTGACCATCGACTCGGATTATCAGCTCTGATGAAGACGAAGACGTCGAAACGTTACCCGAATAAGGATTAACTGTCAACCTCGTGAAAGCTTATTAAAGAAAGAATACATAATGGAGCAGGTTATTTCAGCTCATCAGTATCTGCAGTCTATGTTCTGCTTTCCACTGTCCTCACCGACTCTATGCGTGCTGCCTTTTGGCAATATCTCAACATTAATGCTAATTCGCATGAGCTCTTTATGTTTCTTGGAACATCTTAGAAAGTAACGAGGTTGGAGAGAAGCTGTCACGTGACAAAATTTATTTGCGACCAGGTAATATGTGCCTAAAGTCTTTGGACGGCGAATCTTTTTTGAGAAAAGGAAGGTTTCTGAATGCATTTTACATACCTCACAACCATTTTTGACCATCTTGTGGTGGTTGGTCTAGCGTCAGTGGATAGAAATCGTTCGGCCGAGTCTAAAAATTCCACCGATCAGTACTGGATCAGATATTTTCTATTTCCTACTATTACTTCACAATGCCACAGTATTGATTAGCAATGCGTTACTGCGCAATATTGATTCACAGTGCGTTTTCATGTTTGGCCTGTGACGCTGGCTGTTTTCAAGCACAACGATTAATCGAGAGGTTCTCTGCATAAAAATGAACTATCTTACAGTTAAACAACCAGTTTCTATAGAGGTTTCCTAACTCAGAGTACCGATATTTCTTGTCGCAATTGGGCTATAAGCTGAGAATGTGATGCTGGTGCCGCAATTGGTTCAAAATTACTTATCGATTGTCAGGTTATACAGTCCTAGCAGTCATCATGCTACTTTTCCAGGAATTGCTCTGACAAAGGCAGTGCATACATAACTTCGAATTTTGCAATGTAATCGAGGATATCTACTGTGGTGTCAGCTATAAGAAAAGACAGAGTGGGTAGCTTATGGCTCGAACCTCTTCCTTATCTAGTAGATACTCGCTTCAAGTCGGCGGTGTCACGACAGATCTATGACGAAAGAGCAGGGATCATGCTCTTCGTCAGTTTGCATCACACTACATCAAAATTAGCTTTCGTGTGAGTGTGATTGGGCTACTACGCGTGCTTGAAGTCTACGCAGAGAGACTGTGAGAATTAGCGGCAGAAAATGGTTCAACAAAGTCAATAAGACTAACTTCGCTCACAATAACTGAACGACCGGCACAGAAGTCGATGGTGTTTGAATACAGTGAACATCTGCTGCAAGTGAGTGGTCGAGTACCGAGTTAGTCTTGAAATGAAACCATCACACGTTGTAGTTCTGTTTGTGTCTGTGAAGCAGCGGCTATCTCTGCCATTTTGCATGATATCCGATACCTCATACATATCACCTTCAAGTCACGTACGCTGACAATCTGCGAGTCAATAAATGAACTGATAATGGTCGGCACATTGTAAAGCTGCTCGTCAATCCGTCCTTATCCACTAATGTATCCGCTTCGACGCTTTGTTTGCTTTCGGCATCTCATCTTATAAGTAAGACTGAGAAAAACGAACATCACTTCATCGTCAAACTCTTCGTCTTGAACTTGTTTCTCTGTGTGATGCTGCATAAAATACCACTCACTGATAACAATCATATGGGAACGAATGACTTCATCAACTACAATTGTTCTTATTAATCTTATTATCTGCATTACTGGGCACATGTAGCGCATTGCTCGCAGGCGCCTTCAATAAACATAGGATCGCTCCCCGCGCCCCAGGTCCACCAAGCTCTCCATCAATTCGGGGCCACAAATTGGTACCAGACTTGTCTGGGAGGACAGTGGCACTGGCTTGATATATCGGTAAGCCACCGAGAACCATTTTAAAAGCCAAATATGCAAGCGGTCACCTCCAACGATGCTTAGTGAAGTCGAATGCATGGCGCATCCCATCAACATCAACGCCGAGAGCTTTATTCTTTATTTATCCTTTATATGCATTACTACACCACATTATTTGTTCTAATGTTGCCTATTTTCATCCACCGTATTCGAGTGCATGACCACCCAGGCAGAAGTGCACACGGCGTTCAAAAGCACCAGTCACAAACATTCGCCTCCTTTGTAACACAGAAAGGTGCTTGACACCTGGCGACTAAATGCTCTGAGAAAAAATTCCCCAATGCTATTCATTCTCAGTTAGGGTTTCCCGAGAAAGTTGAATATTTATTAACAAATGACCTCCGTTGTGCGATTTTGCGCGGTTGCCGCGTTAAGCGACGCCTAATTCCATGTTAATAACGGACTTGGACAACTCGACCGAGAAGGACACATAGTAAACAGTGCGAGTTTTTTCGACGGACGACGATTTTTAGTTAGCGAGAATTTTTGACGAATTGAAATTTGTTCTAATACTTTTTGAGTTTATATTTTGTTATCTATTTACTACATGTTACTATGGTCCTTCATCCAAGCACTCTGCCGTGAACACTTTCCATCTAATGCTTTGTGTTAGCAAATTTTTCAATGATGTCTCCCTACCTATGAAGTGTGCCATGGTTTCGTGGCCCGAAAGCACTCTAAGCGTCGTTTGTAGATGAATGAATGCATATCTGGCCTTTACAATGACCCGTGGTGGCCTACCGATTTATCGAGCTAGTTCTGCTATCGTCCCAGACAAGTCCGGTACCTATTTGCCCACCCTGGAGAGATGGAATGCTTGGTGGGCCATGGGCGCCGGGAACGATTCCACGTGTGTGTTGTAGTGGAGCCTCCAACCACTGCTCCACACGCTTCCCTTCTATTAGCTATACTTTGTAAATATATTTCATCTATTATTAAGCATAACACCTCGTGTTTGCTAAACAAGAATATAAAGAATTGTTCGATCAATGCCGAGGTTAATGGAAAGTCGCTCGTGGGAGTTCCATCACATACATTCCACTATGCGGGAAATGTAACGCTTTGTCTATTTCCGCTCTTATGACCGTCCATAACCAAGAATCATCATAGCGAGTGAGAGTGAGACAAGCATCAATTAGTGATCAACAACTGAACTTTATATCTTTCGCTTATAATGGACGATATTGGTTTTCCGATAGTTTTGTGATGACTAGGGTGCTTCGGTGCACAGCACAGAAAAAATCTTATGAATTATTTATGGCCGGCATTTGGGAGCTGGTTGCGTTCGAGACGAACAGATACGAACTACTAAACAGTATGCTCCGAGAAGCCACAAATGTTGATGAGGTGAAGAGATCCAGCGGTTTCTGCCTTATTACGGGAATTCTGGGACTGTCACATTTGAGGGATTACTGGAATTTAGCTCTGCTCTTGCATATCATGCGATTGCATTCAAAATTTTGACAAGAGGCAGATTAGAAGGCTGGTTAATAAACTTCCATTTTGACATTCTGACAATGCAACACCCGTAAGAAATATTGTGAAGTCTAAGCTGCCCGCTGTATAGCGATCACGCTGTACAATTTGCTGCATCAGAGAAGACATATATCTAATAATGATTGGTATATAAGTTTTCTCTTGGCTGAATACTTACTGTAGAGTAGGACTCATTCTACTGGCAGCTGTAGAAGGAGCGGAAAAGGACTTCCCGTTTAGGACATACACCTAAAGCTCAAGAAAAGGCAACAGGAAGCACGACGTAATGGGAGTGGCATAAAGGATAAAGCGTCCCGAGATGATCAATCCTTGAGATACGTGCCATTCACCCGACTTCACCAAGCATCGTTTGAGTGAGGTGACTGAATGCATATTTGGCCTATACAATGATTCGCCGTGGCCTACCAATGTGTGAAGTCGCGCTTTCCTCTGAGACTAGTCTACCAAGTTGCCGACAGCGAAGGGATGGAAAGCTTGATGAGCCTGGTGTGCACGGTTGAGCAAGCGACCGCGCGTGTATTGCAGAACACCTCTAACCACTGTACTACACGCTCAAGAGCGGAGTAATGGCGTTAAAGTGATGAGATGAGAGGGCTATTATTATGATGTTCACATTCAACATGGACATCTGCCTCATGTGGGAAGCATGAATGCCTCCATGCCGTCGACATATTGTTTTCTTAAATAAGACGGTATCAATGGAGCAACAATATAAAACAACGTGTATAGAGTTATAAGGGAATATCAAGGCATTACGATTACAAATACGCCGCAAAACATACGAAACAGACTAGTACCGAATGCAGTTGTTGTTGGAAATATTCTTCTTCTCACCTTCATTAAAACGGTTTCCAGTAGAGTTGCTAGTCTTATGTAAAGAAAGAAAAATGGCTTTCTGTAAGGACTGCAACTAATACGTGGAGAGAGGTAA